GGTGTAAGTGTAAGAAGAAATCTTGGTTCCGCTCGCGCACGACACGCGAGAGCGCCCACTGCGGCGGGCTGCCCGCTCAATCGCTTGAGCCAAATTGGCAGCGGAGGAGGAGGAGGAGGAGGAGGAGGAGGAGGAGGAGAAGGCAGACTGGTGTTGACGCGCAGGGTGGGGGACGCCATCCTGGTGCCAACGACAAGCCGCGAACTGAACCCCAGAGTTTCAGCCAGACCAATGGTCTCGCGCTCGTCACTGGCGCAGGGGCGCCCAAGGAGCAGACATGCCATCGGGGGTGGGGGAGGGCGCCGGCAATCAGCGGCGTGCACTAGGGGGTAGGGGGGAAAGCTTCTTAGAAGGAGGCTACTTCTCAAAGGCGCGGGCCTATACATCTACGGCGACGGCCCGTGCCTTCTGAGAAGCAGGGGCGCCTCTGAGGAACCCTCCCCCCCCACCCCCAGCGCGTGGCTGCAGCAGTGCGGCCGCGGCGGCAGCAGCAGCTGCGGCGAAGGCAGCAGCGGCGGCATCGGCAGCGGCGGGTGCGCCGCGCCGCCCGGAGCCCCCGGCTGTGCGGGGCGCGAGGTGGCGCCGCGGGCCAAAACTCGACGAGCAAAAAACTGCAGGGGGCGACCGCGGGAGCTCCTCGTGCTGCTCCCACTCCTCGTGCCCCTCCCGCTCCCGCCGCAGCCAGCCGGAGGTGAGTGCTGCTCTTCTGCCTCCCCTTATCCATCTCCAGCAGTGCCGTCGCCGCCCTCGCATGATCGTTTTCGCGCGCGTGGTTCTCGGTGTTGAGGTGCACGGCGTACTTATCCGATCGGAGCGGCCTCAGCCTTAGCCGCCCCGATGCGCAACATGCAACACGTAGCGTATTGCTACGGAGCTCAAAAAGTAGATTGAACATGTGCGCCTGGCGCGGCACGTTCGCCAAACTGTGGGCCAGCACGTGGAGCCAACACGCAATGTGTTAACACATGTGTTAACACGGACGTTTTGAAAACGGTGCGTGTTGCGATTCAAAGCGGGCGTATCGAGGCAGCGAAACTCTCAACAGTGGAAGAGCGGTGCTCCCGCCGCAGAGTTGGCCACACTTCGGGGTCGGCGCCCTGCTCCCGCCGTTTAGATGTCCGCTCTCGCCCCGGCGAGGCCACTTCTGGATCCGATCGTCTCCTCGTCGTTGCCGCCCCCTCCTTTCCCCTCGACCGCCTCCGCTTGGTCCTCCTAAGTGTTCCTTCTGCCCCTGCTGCTGCTGCTGCTGCTTCTCCTCGTTCCTCTTCTGCTTCCTCTTCTGATCTCGGGCCAAGGTGCTGCCTCCCACCCACTGCTACTATCCGCCGTCCTGCGTGCACAAGTTGGTCGAAAAGTGGAGGCCTAGTTCTGATGCTACGAGTTATGCTACAAAAGCGGAATGGACGCACTGAAGGCAACGACTGGCCCTATAAGCCAGCATTCGTCCCTCCCTGGGTCCGTATGTATAGCGCAATTCCTGCAACAACGTATTTGCCACCTCGGAACGCCCCTCGTTCCTCCTCCTCTTCATCCTTCGCCTCCCCCTGGTCTTCCGTCACATCCTCCTCCTCCTCCCCCTCCTCCTCCTTCTCCTCCTTTGTGTAAGCACCCCGTTCTGATTGCGTATCACACGTCGAGGTCATTTCGGGCATAAAGGTCTTCTAGGACATCCCAGTCGGCGGATAGAGATCAAATCGACGCAATGGGAAGGGCTGGGTGGGAGGGGTAAGCTGCCAGATATGGCGTGGTCGCATTTGGCTTGCCCACGCCCCCTGCCCTCCCCAATTCTCAACCAATGGGGTGGGCCGTTTTCAAAATGTGGTTCTCGCGTTAGCTCCGCGCGCATTCGTCTTAAACAAGTTTGCAGCAGTTTCAAACATGCAGGGCGGACAATTTTCAACATGTGGCTCTCGCCTGAACGCCGCGCACACTCGTCTTCTTAAAAGTTTGCAGCACATCCGCGCATGGAGGGCGATTCCTTTTCAAAACGTTGCTCTCGACTTAGCGCCGTGCGCCTTCGTCGTACACTTCCGCAACAGTTTGCGGGGTTCGTGTGGCCGAAGTCCAAGGCATCGTCATCTGACTCGATCTAAGATTGTCAAGGCTCAACAATAACGTTTATTCGCGCTGTTGAAGTTCTCGGAATTGTTTCTGGCACGATTCAGGATTGTCAGGATGCAGCAATCACTTGGATCTGCGGCGTTCGAGTCCCAGGAACGGTGTTTTGGCACGATTGAAGGTCCTCAGACAGTTATCTTCTCATTTGCCACTTTCCATAGTTAGAATAAGCTCCCCTAGGACCTATGACGAAAGAACTTGGAAGGAGGGTTTATTGCAACACCGTTGGTGCGTCTTGGGTTCACACTTGTCTATTTCCTCCTCCTCGTCTTGCTTTTCCTCCCTTTCCTCCTCTTTTCTTTTACTCTCCAAAGTGCTCTCCCAAGGGATTCCACAATGGCTGGGGGAACACGCCGTAGACATAGCTTTGCCAGAATTCGGCCCAACGTTTGATCGAATGGGCGTCTCAAGAAGGCAAGGGGCGGATGTGATTCGCCGTAGGTGTCTTCGATCCGCCACCTCGTGTTGATTTATCAGAGGGGTGCTGGTCGTGCCACATGTTTCAATGTTTTGACCATGCTACATGTTCCCAATGGAGTCTCGGCCTGATGCACCGGCCGTGCGCAAAAGGTGTCCTCCGTCGGCTTTCTCGCCAAAGACGGCCGAAAGATGGCCCAACGACGCCCAAGATGGCCTCCAAGACGGCCAAGATGGCCCCAAGATAACCCAGGATAGTCCCAAGATGCCTCCAAGAGGAGCTCCAGGAGCCCAGCATCATTGATCCCCAATTGTTTTTTCAATGATTTTATCGCCTTTCTGGGCTTCCGACGGTCCAAGACGGCACCATCAGCCCCCCAGATCGCCCCTCAGACGGCAAAGAGGCCCGCAAGACGGCCAACGAGGACCCCCAAACAGCCCATAGGTCTCGAAGACGGTCCTAAAGCGCCCAAAGGGACCCATGACTGCCCAGAGAGGCTACTAGAACCTCCCAAGAGGCCCCCCAGAGGCCCGAAGATTTCTTCGGCCCCCGAGAGGCTCCCAGGAAGCCCCCAGGAAGCCCCAAGAGGGCATCAAGAGGCCTCCTCTTCCTCCTCCTCCTCTTCGTCCTCCTTCTCCTCCCTCTCCTCCTCCTTACTCTTCCTCTCCCAAGTGTTCTCTTAAGGGGTTTCACAACGGCTGCGGGAACACTAATCCACTAGCTTGGCCAAGACTTCGGCCCAACGTTTGGCCGCAGGGGCGTTTCACAAAAGCATGGGGCGGCGGTGATTCGCCGTAGGCGTCTTCGATATACTCCCACTCTGCCACATAGCTGGCCGATGCCACACACATCCAGGACTTTCCATCCGTCCAGCATTCAACATACAATGCAAATTCAACGCTCTTGCTCTCAACGTGGACGTTCCGTCGTTGACTTTGCAACATGCGTGGCAAGAATGGAGCACAACGCGCATCGCGCGCGAAACCGCGACATGTCGCTCTCGCCTCAGCGCCGCGCTGATGTCGGGGGAAGCTGCGCTCCCGCTTGGGCGCAGCACGCATTTATCGGTCGCCAATTCGTCGGCGACGGAGGTCGCGAACGAGCGAGCGAAATGCTGCTCTCGCCCCTGCACCGTGCAGAAATGGCATTCCCACTTCGTCACGGCGCATGTCTCTCGTTTGCCCAGTCGTCGGGACGCAGCAACGAGGCCGTGCGCGAAATGTTGCTCTCGCTCAAGCGCCGCGCAGATCGGCCCGGGATGACTCCGAATGCTTCGAAAAAGGCGCAAAAAGAGCCCCAGAAGCCCCAAGAAACGCCCCCAAGAGAGTCCCGAGAAGCGAAGGCCTTGATGGCCGACACCATTTTTTTCACGTCTCTCCACTGCTGGGAATAACTCGGGTGAGCGACGAGAAGCAAGCAAGGGGTCTTACGCGGGATAATATAGCGACCTTGCGCGGTGACTCACGCGGCCGACAGCGCGGCGCGCCACGTTGGAGAGGAAGGCGCTTACGCGCGACCTTACGCGGGCAGCCTACGCGCCAATGTCAGCGCAATCGGCCCCGTTGACTTCCGTCGCTCAAGTGTCAACCGAGCAGGCCTTCGCGGCTCGCGGCGCTCATAGTGGGCTTTTTCAGCTTACCTCCTAAGCTACGAAAGTATCGTGCCCTCCCTCTTTGTATCAGTGTACGTTCCTACACTTCCATGGTCGAGGCAACTCGCCGAGGAATTGTTGCTGGATGGGCAAGTGGAGATGCACGGATCATGCTCTTCTTGCGTAGGGCGTCGGCTCGTGGGGTCATTTCTTTGGCTATCAGATCATCTGGATGCGCGTGCTGGCGATGGAACTTCTGCAACTAGTTTGGTTGTCGCCGTTCAGGTTGGGCAGCGGCGGTCGTTGATTGTGCAGAGTTGAAATCGCGCATAATGGCGTCGTTCGACTAGTCGTCACGACGACAGCTTGGTCGAACTCAAAATGCATGATACTTTTGGTACTTGTAGATGCGTCAACCATCTCAACACTGACACCGCACCACGTCCATTTACACCAAAACTCATTCCGACCTCTCCCCTCCTCCTCCTCCTCTTCCTCCTCGCCTCCTCCTCCTCCTCCTCCTCCTCATCCTCTCCTCCCCTGCCTCCTCCTCCTCCTCCTCCTCCTCCTCCTCCACAACCTCTTCCCTCTCCTTCTCCTTCCTCTCCTCCTTCCCATCCTCCTCCTCCTCCTCTTTACTTCTCCTTCGCTTTTCTCTCCTTCTTACCATGTTCCTCCGCCCTCTCCCCGCTTTACTCCTTTTCCTCCTCCTCCTCCTCTTCCTCGCCCACCTTCTCCCCCCCTCGTCCCCCTCACTATTGCCACCCCCACTCCTTTCCCTCCCACTCCTCCCCATTTTCCGCCGAGGCTGCGCCGGGCCAGGTGCCACGCCCCGGCACCCCATCTGTCGACGCGCGAGTGATGTGGCCGGCGTTACGCCTGGGGCTACGACAACGAAGACGATGACGACGCCGCCGACGACGACGACGACGAGACGGCGGCGACGGCAGGCCGACATGACGACGAACGACGACGGCCTCGACGACGGCGATGCCAATCGCGTCGGCGCTGGCGGCGTCGACCTCGCGCCCGGTAAGGCAGGACCTAGGACATCATAAGATCCTTCAAGAACATGAGACTCTCCGCTGGCCAAGCTGGAGAACATTCGAGGGCGCCCTCCTCCAGGATGTACAAGAACATCCAGCAAACACGAAAAGCACCAGGGCACCCTCCCCGAACCGACCTCGATCTTGTACCTCGGTCCGAACGTAGGGGAGGAGGGGGGTGAATAGAGGGGAGGTGCGGGGGGGGGATGGGGAGAGGGGGGATTCTACTTTAACATCAGCGGCCAATGGGCTCCACCTATATGGGGCGAGCTCCTGAGGGAGCCTTGCCAATGCGGAACACTCGCCGCAGCTGATGGATGCGCGGCGGCTTTATACACGAGCCAACCACCGCTCCAGAGAGGCGCAGCTGCTAAGAAACGGCTCAGCCCAGGGTAACGGCATCAGCGAAGATGCCGACGCCGATCTCCACTGCAGTCGTCGCCTTGCCTGTCACTAGCGTCAAACTCCTTGCCGAGGGGGTTGATCCAGGTGCGCAGCTCGTCGTCGGTGAGAATCAGGAGGCCGCTCCTGTCTATGCGGTGGCCCGTGCACTCCTTGAGGTCGAAGGTGTGCTGAAGGAGAGCCTCCGGCACGACGGACATACCGTTGCCCTTGCCGCCCAAGACCTTGCCCTTGCCCTTGCTCCTCCACGAGTCAGTGCTGCCTTCGCCAGCAGAGCCGCCGGCAGCGCAAGTCGCCACCGGTGCGTCAGCCGCAGCCCCTACGGAGCACCGCCGCCGCTCCGCCCTCGAAGCCGCAGTGGCAGGCGTCGGGGGCCTCTTCGCGGGCGCGATCTCCGTGTCGATGTCCCCGTCGCCAGCAGCCTCAGCCGCGCCTGCCTGCGGCGCCGCCGCCGCGAAGGGCGAGGCGGACGCCGCGGAGCGCGCGACAGCAGCCACCGTGGGCCAGGTGCGCGGGCCAGCACCGCGGCGTGCACGGCTACCTCCATGAGGGCAGCAGCAGCGCTGGCCGAGAGAACCCCTCGAGGCCCAGCCATCGCGCCGCCGAGGGGAGCGCGAGCCGAGTCGTGCAACCGCTCGAGCCCCAAATGGCTTGAGCCAAAAGGGCTACTATGGAGGGGGGAGGGAAGGGGGAAGGAAGGAGGATGGAGGCATGGCGGATGGGTGGAGGGAGGAGGGAGGTGGGGAAGGGGGGATTCTGGAGGAAGGACGGGAGCATGGTGGGTGGAGGAGGGAAGCATCGAGAGAGGGGAGAGGGGGGGGGGGGCGGGGAGCGGTGCAGGGAGGATGGCGGCGGCCGCGGCAGTGCACCGCGAGCCGCGGGCTCTCGGAGGGGACGGGGAGGAGGGAGGAGGGCGGGGTGGGTGGGTGGGGTGTGGGGGGGGCGGAGGGAGAAAGCAAGGAGGCAGACGGGGTGAGGGGAGGGAAGTGGAGGGGGGAAAGGGTGGAGGGGGAGGGCGGGGGGAGGGGAACGGGCGGACGGAGGAAGATGGAGCGCCTCCTCCTGCACCTCCCGCCCCTCCTCCTCCCATCCCTCTCTGCCCCTTCCTCTTCCTCCTCGTCCTCCTGGCCTGCGGTCAAGAGCTGTTGCGCAGCGTGTCGCGGCGGCGGCCCCGACGACACGCCACGCCCTGCGAGCGGATAGCGCGTCGCTCCGCTCCGCGGGGCGGGAGGGGGGGAAAGGCTCGGCACGTTGACGCTCGGGGACTGGGCCGTGGTTGGCGTGCTGCGCCGAGGCGTGGTGGGCCAGAAACTGCGGCGCGACGCGGTAAGGAAACGCTCCTGACAGTAATGAGCCCATCCCTTTTCCACATCTCCTTCTCCTGCTCCGCTCTCTCCTCATCCTCCTGCTCCTTCTCCCTCCAGATTCTCCTGTTCCTTCCCCTCGCCCTCCTCCTCATCGTCTTAATCCTCCTCCTCCTCCTCCTCCTTCTCCTCCTCCTCCTCCTCCTCCTCCTGCTCCTTCTTTTCCCTCCCGCCTCCTCCCTCCTCCCTCGTGTCGTCTCGAGCTGCTTGAACTGTGTACAGCTTTGCCCTCCTCCGAGGGCCCTCTTCTCTTGGCGCCCGTGCAGACTTTGTAGATCCTCCCGATAATCTGCCTACTGCAGTACCATCGTGTGCCGACAATCTTCATGCTTCCACGGCCTTGCCATCGAACAAATCGTCCTGCCGCCTCCCTCCTCCCTCCTCTTTCTTAGGCATGCTATGGGGGCGACACGACGCAGGCAGCGTCCTCCTCCTCCTCCTCCTCCCTCTCCTCCTCCTCCTCCCTCCCTCTGTCCCTTTCTCCTCTCTCCTCCTCCTCCTCCTCTTCCTCCTCCTCCTCCCTCCTCCCTCCTTCCTTCCCTCCCTCCCTCCCTCCTCTCACCTCCCTCTCGGGAGGGGAGGCGAAAGCCACCAAAGAGAGCCCGTCCGCGCCTGGTGGCACCGCTGCCGGCCGCCCGTCACCAGCGACTAATACGCCGGCTCCCCGCGGGAACGCCCTCCTCGTCGTCATCGTCCTCCTCCTCTTCCACGAGGTGCCCCCTATCCTCCCTTTCCTCGTCCTCCCTTTCCTCCTCCGCCGCCCTCCCCTCCTCGTCGACGTCGTCGTCGTCGTCCTCGTCTTCCGCGAGGTCCTCCATCCTCCTTTTCCTCGTCCCTTCCTCTGACCTCGTCGTCCTCCTCTCTCTCCGGTCCCTCCTCCTCTTCCTCGTCCTCCTCCACTTTTCTTATTTTTCCTTCCTCCTCCTGCTCCCGTTACTCCTGCTCAGTGTAACAGTGCAGCAGTGCTACCGCGTGTCCATACAAGCACAGACAAGGGTTTTTAAAAGGGGTATGGCAACCCAGCAACAGCTTAGTCTGACTCCGTGCCGCCCGCCGCCCGCCCCCCCCCGGGGAAGGAAGAGACTGCGGCGGGCCGAGCCTGAGGGCCGTGCCAGGAAAAAGGCCTCGGAGGAGTTCCCGCCTCTCCGATCACCTCTGGGTCGGCCTGCAGCTGCCCGCGAGTCGCGGGCCTACCTGTGTAGTGGCAGGCCCGCCACACCTGCGACACCACACGGCTGGCATGTCAGGGCTGGCAGTCCGACTCACCTGCAGAGAATGGCCCTCGTGGTCCTCAGACGTCACACGAGCCAACAAGGAAGGGTTCAACTCTGCACAAGCTTTTCTGGTCCCAGCCCCCCTCCCCCCCACCCCACACCCCCCCGCAAGCAGCGTCGGCGCCGCCATTTGGTCGCCGAGCTCCACCAGGCCCAATCGTGGTCCTTTTTCCTCCCTCCAGCACAACAATCAGGCCCCCCCCCCCCCCAAACAAAAAAACCCAATCGTGGGCATTCTTGGGGGGGCCTGGGCTTCATCTCGACCGCATATTTCCAAAGCTCACCCAACTGGTCCTGCAGGATCGGCCACACCGCCAAGCACTTGGCCACATCTCGAACGAGCTTGCGGTAGGCTGTTGCAGCCAACTTATTGCTTCTTCCTCATGGTGAACATCGGAATTACTATGAGCAGCATATTTAGCATGGTGGTCCGCCAGCTTGTTGCTAGCGATGAACAACTCATTTGCCTCATCCACAGCCTGGGACTCATCTCTGTGGGCTTTCCCATTGGCAAAACGCATCACCCGATCGCGCCGCGTCAGACGACTCACCTCCAGAAATGTCCCTGGCTTCTTTCGGGCCGAACAACAATGCAATGGTGGCCCAGCAAGGTCTTGCAACCAACAGAAAGTTCACTGAATGCACACAAGCTAAAACTGCACCAACATGCTCTCCCAAGATAGCCGGCTGAGAGAGCGTGGAGGGAATGCCAACACGCAAACCTCCGATCAAAGCCCCTTCGCCCGAAACGTGGCGCAACCCGCGCGGGCCAGCGCCCAAACAAACCCGGGGTACATGCAGCTTCCATCAGGGAAAAGCCTGGGCCCAGAGGTGGAAGTGGAACGGTTCGCACTGGCCGGCATCCTCATCAAGGAACTTGACGTGCCACTCTTATGGTGGCTGGGTCAGGTCTCAGGCTGAATCCCGGCCGTGGGTAAAAAGAGGGTGGCCGTCGCCAACTTCTTTGGCCTCCCGGACCATGGGGCCACCAAGTTCAATCCCCCTGGTCTCTTGGCTGTGGCTTCAAGTCCACGCCCTGGGCCATTGGGTATCAAGCTGGCCGCAATATTCACATTCTACGCCTTCTACACTGGCATTGATGCCCCAACTCTTGAGCTTCACACGCGCGGGCAAACAATCGCAGAAACTCTGGTGGAACAATTGTGACTCTTCCCGTCTTGACTCTAACTTGCTGGACGCTAGCGCCTTGCGGGGGAGCTCCCGCCAGAGACCTCTAGGCAAGATGTCATCCCATCCAGGACCTGTGTTGGCAATCATATTATGGGTAGCTCCCTTGATCTGCTTGTCACTGAGCTGTAGTATGACACGTTCACGCGCATGCGCTGGGCTGTGGGTGGCGATGGCGATTTCTACACCCCTCAGGTCCAGGAGTTTCGTGGGCCCTCGGATCTCCCACTAGGCCTCGAGGAGCATCACATCCGAAACGGAGCCCTTGCTTTTGGAAAACCACCTCTCCCTGGGGGTCTCCAAGGTTCCACCTGGAGCAGCGTTAGAAGTCTGACTGGGCATGTTGGCAGCCATCGCGTCCTCGTGCGCATGCGGGTCTACGTGGCCCAGCTTGGATGGGAGCATCCACTGCTCTTCTGCGTGGCGGGCCAGTGGCATTGCCGCGACATCCACAGGGCCCCTGGCCCCAGACAGACCCCAGAGAAAGTCCGTCGAAGCATTCCTGATGGCACTTCCACTGGCCCTAGCAACTACTCCGCGCAACTGCTTAACCTGGTGTGGGGGAAGTCCTACAACCTTACCCCGATGGGCCAGGATTGATTTCAGATTCGCGTGGAAAGGCGGTCTCTGGATTTGCCCTTGACCTTCAGGGCCCCTCGCTTCTTGCGGCGCTGGAGAACTTAGCGTGCAGACGTGCCTGTTCGAGCTTTCCCTCCAGTGGACCCGCTCCGAGGTGAGGCGCGCAATGTGCGGGGCCTCCCCCAGCTTACCTAGCGTCAGTTCAGCCTCTCTGAGCACAGGGCCACTTGTGGCTGGTAAGCAAAACTTGTCCACATCCATGGGGAGAAACATGTTGGATTGGAGATGCCTGGACATGCTGCTGCGCATCGTATCGCAAACCCACCTGATGTTGCTGCCCCGCGCCCGCAGGAACAACTCATTCTTGTGGAGACTTTGGGGGCTCTGGTCAGGCCAGGCCTGCGCGCGTGCTTTCATCCCTGGCATTTAGTCGACATGTGCTTCATATTTCGCTGTGCTACCGCCGGCCACGATGCCTTTCGTGGCCCACAACTCGCATGACATTACGCTGTCATGCAACAGGGTCCCGACCCAGCTATGCACGGCCAGGGAAACGCCCGGGAGGTACAAGAGATAGTTGGCAAGCTCAACATCATTTCGGAACCAGCTCCTAGGAAGATGCTCGTGCACCTTTTTGACGTCCACAACATCTGCAACACGTGGGGTCTGTTTTCATAGGCCCACTCAGCTCGGACCAATTCCATCCAGACTGGGTCGAAAGGTGCTCGCTTTTGAATAGCCGGTACCTCCGTGCCAGCGTCAGCCTCCCAACGCCGAGTTCTTGCTTTCTGGTCCGCTCCGTGCGGCCCCGAGGGAACTCTCAAGGTGGCCCAAGGGTCTCCTGCGGTCACCTGAGCCTTCTTTCGGGGTGATGGAGGCATCGGGGGTGCTTGAGAACCACTGGGAAGTCGCTGGCCGTCCTCGCAACTTTCATCAGCGGCGAAGCACGATGCAACGACCTGTTGCTCAAAATGCTGTGATGCCTCGGATGGTGCCCGTCTGGTCGACAGGTAGCTTCTTCAAGCTTCCTGGGGCAAGGCTTGACGTGCCCCGCACTGGCCAGCTCTGGGACAGGCGCAGGGGGGTGCCGTCTGGGATGGCAGCGTTGTCGGCTCCTTGCTGTCCTTCCACGCATCCATCCGACTCTTTTCCTGGGTCTCGAGCCTGGCCTGGGCCGAGATGGGGGCGCGGGCTTGAGGGGCCGAGGGGGAGGGGCCCTGGGCCCCAAACTTGAACTTGGGTTTGCCTTCTAAAAAGCTGCGGGCCTGCTTGGCCCCGCCCTCGAGAGCCTCAGCGTGTCAGTCCGCCCAGCGACGGGCCGCGGCAATCCTGCTGGACGGGCGCGCCTGCTCTCCAGAGCGGCTGACAAAATGCGGCAAATCAGGGGGGGCCTCGAGGGCACTGGGGGCTGAAGTCTCGCACGGGATACCTGCGCGAGTCAGCAGAGGGCGCCGGTGACGCGCTCCAGTCTGCCAGAAATTTCAAAAGGGCCTCTTCTGAATTGGATCTCGATAAGCTGTCCAGCGACCTCCTAGGAATGCCAGGACGGGTGCCGTCCGGGGGGCTTCAGGATTGTCTGGGCCCCCACCCCGCGGTTGGCCACCCGCCCCAGGCATCTCCGGGGTTGCTCATAGAGGTGGCTCTTCGTGTGCAGCGCTCTCGATCGGGGTTCGACCGCGCGCTCCCTGGGCGCGCCTCCTCGTGGGCCCTTGCAGCTCCGTTCAATAGCGATCGGTGAACGTGGATTACTTATGTGATCTCTAGGGCGTCCATGGTGCGCTCGCCGCGCTGCCCCCGCGACTGAAGACGTGCATTATGGAGCCCCAATGTTGCTGAAGAAGGGGCGCCAGGATCTCTACGGGCTCGACGTGCGATGGCGGCTCCACCAGCGTGCCCAGCGTGGGCTTGACTGGGAGCTGCTGTTGCGGAGCAGGGGCCCTTGCTGAGATCTCATTGGCCTGGGGGCTGAACTCAATCGTCGCGGAGTAGTGGGCTCCACTTGAGGAATCGTAATTGACCAAAACTTCTTCAACGGGCTCGTCAACCGCTGAGCTCAAACTCAAAAGTCGATCAAGCTAGTTTGGCCCCGCGCTGCTGTAAGTGTGATCTTTGCTGAAACGTCCTCTGAGATGCCCGTCAAATATCTCTGCCAATGCATCATCAGGGTGAATATCGACATCTGCTCCGAGCAGGACTGGGTACGAGTGATTGGCCCAATCTACTCTCAGGGCCGACCATATCTGTCCCCGTGGTAGAAAAATTAGCGCGAATGCGCAGCAACCGCTCCAACCTGCCGCATCTGAACACATGCGCGAACCAAATGGCCTGGGATGAGGGTGGCCTTCCCCTGTGCCCAAGCTGGCATGTGGCCTTGATCAGCAAGGTAACGCCCCCACTAGGCCCTCCTCCTGGGCCACTCAAGGCCGCAGTGGGCAATTGTCTCCACCTTGCAACTTGAATGCTTTCGATGGCAACTTAGTCTCCTGCGACATGATGATGCCCCCTCTGATGGACTTTTGAACGCCTTTGAAAGCCCTCCCGGATCCACAGTTCAAGGTCGTGACCTGGACTGCCTGTCTCTTTGCCTTTGGAATATTGGAGGTACCTCCCATCCCGAAGCGTGTCATTGGAGAAAATGGGCCCCCCCTAGCGCCCTTCCTCTCCAGCCGATTCCTCAGCCTTCTTAGGGGCTGGCTCCATGGTGGTGCCCCTCGGGCCCACCTGAATGGAAATGCCGGAAGTACTGTGTCCCCCAGACACGACTCCGAAGACGTTTGTGGCTGCAGAGGGGACTCAAGCAATCTCTGCCTTCTCAGGGGCTGGCTCATCCCCGCCGCCTCGGTTGCCCAGCGGCGCGGGAATGCTGGAAATGCTCGGTGCGCCGGGCCGCGCCGTCAAAGGAGGCGGGGCAATCTAGCTCGGCCCTTCCCATCCAGCCGACAAGTCGGCCTTGCTCTGCGGACATTGCCTAACACATTCTTGAGCTGACCGATGTATTTTTGGCCCAGCTGGTCGAACTGGGAGCCTGCACTCTCGACGGACTGGTTGAAGGCATCTGCTACTCCCAAGCCATGCTTGACTTTGGTGGGCTGGGCTCGCGGTCGCGCTGGTTCCATCTGCGGCGCATACTCTGGTTTGTCCATGGTCCTTTGCCTTTGCTCCACGATTGGTCACAACTTCTGGCCCAGCCATTTGACGGGCATCACTCACCGAAGCTAGTGGCGGCATCACTCGGTTTGGCATGACTGAGAGGATCACTGCAATTGCAACATCACCAATCGTGGCCAGGATTCTTGTGACAGCCGCAACCGCCACACGCAAACACGCCCACGCGAGAAGTTACTGGCGCCATCCTTGCTCGACATGTGGCGGAGAATGGGCGTGCATATGTGGATAAAAGTGGACGTCCTCCTTTATTCAGGGGGAGAAGGAGTGCGTCTGGGCGCCCCGTTGATAGCTGTCGCGTAGCGGTGGACACCTCCAAGCTCGAGTCCCCGCGACACGGGGTTCAAACTTGAGCCAGAATTGGTTGGGGACCCTGCTCCTGCTCCTGCTCCTCCTCCCAATGTATGCCTCCTCCTCCTCAATGTCTGGCCACGGAGCGGCGGACGGGGGCGTGCGGCCAGCGGCATGGCCGGCCGCAAGCGCGGCGGGCACGCCGAACAGCCGCAGGGGGTCGTCCGACGGGCAGTTGTACCTCGTAGGGGAGGAGCTCCAGGAGGGGGGCTGGGGAAGGGGCGGGTCGGGGGCCGGGGACGGGTCGGGGGTCGAGGAAGGGGCAAGAGGGACCGAGGCAGGATCGGGGGCCGAGAAGGGGTCGGGGGTCGAGGAAGGACAGAGGAGGAGGAGGAGGAGGAGGAGGAGGAGGAGGAGGAGGAGGAGGGAGAGGAGGAGGAGGAGGAGGAGGGGGATGATGATGATGATGATGATGATGATGATGATGATGATGATGATGATGATGATGATGATGATGATGATGATGATGATGATGATGATGCTGCTGCTGATGATGATGATGAGGAGGAGGAGGACAACGAATCCACCGACCCCCGCTTGCTGGGGGTGCAATGGCGTGTGGGATGATTGGCTGTCCCCCATCCTCTTTTCCCCTCCCCATGGGGTCTGGCATCCGATTACATGGGGGTGTCCCGGGGGGGTGAGGCGGGGGGGCAAACTCTTCAACGCACCCTGGGGGCCTCCAGAACCTCCAATTCTACACTCCGTGGCCTCCAGGACGCCCAAGCGGGCTCAAGGTGAGCTCCAACACGCCGAGGAGTCCTCAATGACGACAGCGGTGGCCTCAAGACTGCCCCAGAGGCCTCTAAAACCCCCGAAAAGGGCTCGAAGGCGATCCCCGAGAGGGCCCAAGACACATGAATCGTCCAAATCCTTTGGGAAAGCCATCTCTTGTGAATATCCGCATTTTTCTCGATTGCGTCCAAGACGGCTCAAGAGGTGCCCAAGATCGCTGCAAAACGGCTCAAGAAGCCTCCGAGAGGGCCCGAAAACTGTCGAAAAGGGTCCCAAGACGGCCCACGAGGCGCTTAAGATGACCCGAGCGAGCTCCGAGAGAGGCAACTCGAACTTTCATTCCGAACCATCCGCCCCAAGAGAACCCCCCAGACCGCCAGCAGGCGGCCAAGAAACGTCCAAGAGCCACGAAAACGCCCCCAAGAGACCCAGAAGAGGCTCCCGGGGGGTCCCCAAGACGCCCCGAAAGGCCTCGCCCGTGGACTTCTCACCTCTCCCGGAGGTTGGCGGGCAGGCGTAAGCCCCTTGAGTCATATAATGAAGTCCGCTGCCCTTGGGGCTATCCTGGCAGCGCACAACGAAATTGAACCACTACAAACGCTCGAATTTCTGCCCCAGCGGTAAGGCGGACGGGAGGAGGAAAAGGTGGAGGTAGTGGAGGAGGTGGAGGAAGAGGAGGAGGAGGAGGAGGAGGAGGAGGAGGAGGAGGAGGAGGAGGAGGAGGAGGAGGCGGCGGAGGGGGAGGAGGAGGAGGAGGAGGAGGAGGATGAGGAGGAGGGCGAGGAATGATCGAGGAGGACTCGGAGGAGGAATAATGGAGGACCAAGGAAGGATCGAGGAGAAGGAGGAGGAAGAGGAGGAGGATGAGGCTCCATGCACCGCCGACATCCCCTGAGTTTTTCCAGGCAAGCCGTGCCAAGGTAAAAGACGCGTGCAGTGCTGATTAGAAAAAGGATCTATCACAGGCGGTTCTAGTAGTAGGAACGAGAAGAGATAGGACGAGGAGTATAACTGAAGTGATGAGGAAAGGAGGTGGAGCGGAGTGTAGGATGATCGAAGCTCACATAATGCAAACATGGCGGCATGCTGAAATCTAAAAATATGCGAGGCTGCGAGGAGGGGGCAGGCAAGTAGAGGCGGCTGCGAGTGCGGTGTGAACATCCTCCCCCCCAATGCCAAAATCCCAAGCCCGTTGCCACTCTAAAGAGACGGGACAGCAACTTGACGAAAAGAATGGTGAAGAGTATTGTCGGTCTAAAGTGTGGGGCCACACCCTGTAAAAGGGTGCTCGAAATGCACTGTGTGAGCTGAGGCTTGAGCAGACTACATAAAGGCCCTCTCACGCTGCAGGCCGGCGCTGCCTGGCCGTGATCGGTGGGCGGAGAGGCTGGCGCGCGCTAGTGTCCTGTGAGCATGCGTCAGAAACAATGCAGCAAACTGGTGATATGTACTCTGAAGCGAGATGGCCGCCTCCACCTAGCCTAGCCCGCCGAACTCCGCCGTGTGCGGAAGAGATCTCGGCTGGCAGTCGTTTGCGCTGCATATGGATATGCAAGCCAATGCGAAGGCACGCGTGATAAATATGATGCGTGACGGCGTAGAGGCAATCAGTCAGGCGAGTGTGCAAGGAAACGTAAGAAGATCCTCCACCACCCCCACCACTCCACCACCACCATGCCCGCACCCCGTGTAATTTCAGAGACAAGACTGCGAGCCGACCTAAGCACGGTGAAAAGCATACAGTTTAATCTGGCGGGCCATATCCTGTAACGGGGGGCTTGACATGCACTGTTTGAACAGGGGGGGCAAAGTAAGCATCTAATGTGGTCGCTGGAATACAGCAGCAGGTGGGACAACCGTCCCTCCACATGCCCCGTCCCCGCTCCCCCATAGTCAAACTCACCCGCCCGCTCCCCGTCAATATCGCGCCGCTGGGCCGGCGCTGCCTGCCCTATGGAAGTGGACCGTAGGAGACTGGGGCTATTCTAAGAAAACCTGAAATGGAGGTCGGGATGAGGTGCGCCGTGCTGGCATGGTTGACTGTAACGAGGCAGAAAAGATAAACTGTAGGCAGCGTGCGCAGCGGGCGAAACAACTGTACTGGACTGTCGTGAGAGAGCAACTCGTGCGCGCTGCTGGCTGACTGCCGATGATAGAGAAAGGTGAGGGCCTGAAATATATATAAGTCGCAAAGGCTAACAGAGAAAAAAGTGCACCTGTTGTGGCTCTTCAGCAGGCGGCAGCGACGGGGGAGAAAAGGGCGAGGCAGGGGGGTGGCGCACCGAAAGAGGCGAGCGTCAAAGTCCTATGCCTCCGCGAACGGAAGTACAGGGCCTCGGCCTTCACCAACAATCAGTGCGGCACTTCCCGTGCGGGGGGAGGAGGCACCAACGGGTGCAACTTAAACGGGACATGTGAGAGGAGTCGGGAAGGCGAGCGACAGACGATAACAGGAGGAACCTTGGTATTAACATACCAGAGGGTAAAAAAGACAGGGGGATAGCCTTCAGAAATCATCGATCTGCGGTAATTGAAATGCTGGCGGTTGCTGTCGTGGATGTAGCGAGGCCGTAGGGTCTGCAATCCTTGTTGTAGGACTCTCCAATCTTGGTGACCAAAACCGACTGTAGTATATGTGGTACGTCTGTCATCCCAAGTAAGGGCTGCCGTCCGCCTGTAATTCTGGGAAGCTTGGTTTCGCTGTAAGTTGCGCCTTGTGTTCTGGTACTGGGAAAATTGGCGCTGTGGGTGGCGTTTTTTGCTCTGGCGCTGGGGAATCTGGCTTGGGCACGGTAGGCGCTGTCGTGGCAGTGGATATTTCTTGCTGCTGTCGCAGTTCAGCTTGGCGTAAGTTGCGCTGTCATAATTATGTCAAGTACTGCTGGCATTGCATCTGTTGATTGCGTATCGTCTCGATGTAGTTCGAAAGCCTCTGGTCGTTGTTGTCGTGGACACTATCCTTCCAATCTGCTCCGTGTGTGAAAGCATTGGGGTGGTTCCCGTTTGTCCGCCTTGGAACTGTATTGAGGTCCCTTTGGCTGAAAGTAGATCTGCTTTTGTGGCGAGCGTTAGAGGTGCTGGCTCTGATGTTAATATTTACTTATCCAGCGCTGAGTCCTTGCGGCCTCTTGTGGTGGGAAGCAAATCAGACATTAGTGGGATGCTTGCAAACAGTGGAAATTATGAGGCTAGGTGGTGGCGGATGAATTGAGCTTTTGATCCGATGTGTGGTGCCGGACTGCGGGATCGTAATAAGGTTGGTCGTTGGTGCTGGCTGGTTTGGCGTGTCCATGTATGCTGGCTGGCTGTTGTTGGCTGGATGGCGGCGACTGGTTGATGCCTGCTGGTTGGTCGTTGGCGCTGCCTGGATGGTGCTGGGAAGTGGTGGTGCGTCATCAGTGGTGTTATCGCTGGAGTAGGAGCTTGCTGGTGGTTGCGGAATGATGTGGTCGTCGTCAGGTTCGTCGGCTGGATTCCGTATATGCTGCAATAGTTGTGCTGTGTCGTTAATGCGAACGGTCCAATCGTACTTCATGTTGCCTCCGTAGTCGTGGCATGGGCATAGCCAATGTGAGACCGCGCGTACGGCCTGCTTGGCCACTTTGTGCACCCTTGTAGTCGGGTCTCGCATTCGGGAGCTCAAGTGCCTGTTGGTAAGATTGACTGCAATTCTGGAGTCCTCGCTGAGTCCGTAGTGGTTCGCGAAATGGCTCATGTAGTTTCCTAATGGAAATCGTGGTTGGTCGTGCGGACGTGGTCTCCATGGAGGTAAGTGGTCGTCTGACGGTGTTGCGCCTCTGATCTTTAAGTATAGTGTCTGCTCGGTCGGTGGCATCCCGAATGTAGAGAGTGGGGTCGCATGTGGATCGGGCCTCTACGGTGGGTGGGGAAGGGATTGTTGGAGGTTGTTGTGGACGAGCGATTCGTCGTTGTACTTATCGAGGTACCTGTGCCATACATATAAAAGTAGGTGGTCGTTGGGGAATATGTAACTGTAGCTATTGGTTGCCAAGTCGTAGTCTACGGCGTAGCGCCAAGTGTCCTCATCATGGTCATCATCTTCAAATCTATCTTTGTCGCAATATGCTGTCCAGCCTTCTTGGCAATACATGTCGTGGCTTTCATGCAGAGGAAGTGATGTGGGAAATAAGGGCTTCTGAATGTGCTTGTGATCCCCACCGTTGCCGGGGTGGCGTCCATTTTCTTCCGAGTCGGCAACTGGGGTGCGCATTGCTGCTTCGATGCCATCGTCGCCCCAACGGTTGCGGATAGTGGTGAGACGTGGTTGCGTTGGGGGCGCGGTTGGTGTTGGCATCTTGGCCTTGGGCAGTGGTTTGGGTGCATGAGTTGGTGGTGGTGGTGGCCTTACACGCTGGCGGTCTCGCGTGGGTCTGAAATCGGGATGTGGTAAGTATTGCCGCGGTGGAGTGGGCAGTATGTGGCCAG